ACAATTAGCACCCATAGAGTCACATACATCAATATGCAAATGCACTACTAACCACTCTTTGAATTTTTCAGAACCAATTGGATGATGTTTTGGATTTCGATTATTTACACGTGGGATCCTTCTAACCGACATATCAAATACACCACCTCCCCGTTTAACCATGCTGTCACAAAACTGGTTGGCAAATTTAATGATACTCGACTTATGTTGTAATAACTAAGAATATTTTCAACAAAAAAAAATATACTTATAGTATACATTATAAATTCCATAAAACATAACGAAAATTATATTTCAAACCTTATTTACGACATGACTCATAGAATTTTGAGGTATATCTAAAAGAACAATCTGAGCTATTATTGAGTTTCTTTTAGGTGCCACTGCGGTGAATCCCTTATATGACGAAATTGTTTTTGCCGCACCCGAAACAGCAGCGATAACTGAGGCTTCTTCGATCGCCATGGGAATAATTATTGGTTTTCCGTTGATTATGAAATTAAGAGCCAAACCAACTGGTAAACCTATTGTCCTATACAAAATTAGGATCAAAAATTAAGATTCATAGTTTTATCCAACAGGCAACAACAAAATCAAAATATTTACCCTACACAATTTTCAACCATTTTATCTGCAATATGTTCTTCAAGACCTTTTATTGGAAATGGATTCTGATCAACAGATAATGGCTCTAATTTTTTTATTAAGTAGTTAAGTTGTTCGTCATTTATGCCCTCTTTTGATTCATTTTCTTTGGAATAGTTTAAGGAGATAGGAGATCTGCAAATAGGACTTAAAGGAGAGTTGCAAATAGAACTTGAAGGTGTAGCATAAACTGAGGGAACATTATTTGGAGGAGGTAGATTAAATAAATCCGGAAAAGCAAGCTTTAGTTCATTTTGACGTTCATTTAAAGTCTTTTTGTAAAAACCTGACCAGGCTGAGCCGTGAAGGCTAGGATTCATGTTGGGCTCAGCTATCCGGTCTGTCTTTTTTTTTAATTTTTTTTTATCTATAAACGGTAAAACAGTAATTCGCGATTAACGCATTTTTTATTGCATTTTTTATTGTAAATTATTAGAATTATTATTAGTTATCTTTTTACATTGTTTCTTTTTTTATATTGTTAGCGCTTACGTTGTGTTTCATACTTTTTGGATTTAAGCACCTTTTTTGACATTTTTGGATTATTTCGATTGGTTCTAAATTTTTATTTAGTTTCGCCCCTGGGTAAACCCATTGTTTCGTGTTGAATCGATATTGTTTTTGCGACGTCCGGTGTCACGTGTGATCAGATCAGAGTACAATCAAATATTGTTTCTTATTTATCCTCAGTTTATTCTTATATTATTTATTTCTTATAGTATAGTGAAGATAAATTCAAAAACAGTCTATATAAAAATCCTCTCGATATAGTGAATTTACTAATTACCTCTCGATATAATAAACTTTTTAAATAGAACGGATCACTTCACTATAATGAGTGACTTGTACTATATTTTTTTTTTTAGAATTTAGATTAAAGTTATTAACAGAAAATATGTTACACCTGTTAATACAGTATATGGGGTCTTTGCCTTGAAAATCACCTTCCGACATTTCCGATCGGGTTAGGGCAGTGTCATTTATCACCTGATTTATTTTTATCAGAGGCTTACCCCCCTCCCTCCCTCCCTCTTATTATATATCTTGATCAGGTCTTTATATATAATTTTAAATTTTTTACCCCCCCTCCCCCCTAAAAAATCATCTGATTTT